GATACTCTGGAAGAAAGACATTTTCCTTCATTTAAGATTGCCAGTGGTGAAAACAAAAGGAAGTCACTCATCTGAGTATAAATGAAACTTAATTTAACTCATTCCAGATTCTTATCCCTATTCTTACCCCTCCATACTTCTTCCTATTAAGTGACCAGTCACTGATAATTCTATGTTTTATTGACCTTCCAGTGATTATAAAGTAATTTAAGTGGCTTTTGAAAGTAAACTTAATTCCAGTTTCAGACTTTTAAATTAAAAGTGGCTCAGCTGGATACTGTCTCTTCAACACAGTAATATAAATATTAGTATCTTGGCTAAAATGAATTATTGACAATTTTAATACATGTTGCACAGTACATATTAATATAGGAAAATACATGTTAGCAGCAGCATAATGTTGACCATGTTCTAATCCATTCCACCTGCTCAAATATTAGTAAAAATAATTATATATTTGTAATGCATCACTGCTGTCTAGCGCAAATCTATGCCTTCTGAATAAATGACTTTCCTCTGAGCTTGTTTGCTGTTTGGAGTATGATTGTTATATATTCATATTTAAATTAGCTTTGTATGGTGAGGCAGACTGCAACCTTCTAAACCACTTAGAAAATGAGCAAGTATGGTTAATTACTTGTCTCTCCCCCACAAAAGTGTTATTAATCACAAGAACTGAAGTTTAGTGTTACCTCCCAGATAACAATGTTAAAGTATACAGGGCCTACTTTAAAAATATCAATCTTGTTAAGCCCAGGGTTATCAACCCAGCTGCTTCAAATCACCAATTAAAATTCTTACTCTCTAATGTTTCAGGTTTCTTTCCTATATACACTTGAGGGTTGTTTCTCCCCTAAATTTGGAAAGAGAAAGATTGATCAGTGGTAAGAATAAAAGTTAAGAGTTAAGGCAATTTTAAAAAGATTAAATATGCAATATTTGATTACATAAAAATGACTGCCTATTGCTAATACATTGAGTACTTTTTTCTCCATGTTTTCACTCCAGCATTAGCCATTTAAAAACTACCAATGCACTAAATAAACAACAGAATTGGCAAACTTGTGACATTAAAATAGTCTGTTTTTGAAGGTAGAAATACTGATTTCTTCATATCTTTCAAGATAGAGTTGTCATTCACTCCCATGTTACAAAATATGGTACAAAATACCTGAAGTCTTTCTGTTGCAAAAATTATTACTCAAACAGTATTATGATTATGCAAAATAACTCACTAAAGAACTTTTTGATGGAAAGATTTCTAGTAGGTACACACTTAATATTCAATTAAAATTTCATGACCACTTATAAAATTTTAAAAACCAAATTTTATAAAAGTATGACCACACACTGGACACATTACAAAAAAGTTTAACAGTAAATTAGATATTAGCCCTGTATCTCAACTTCATAATCTAAACACTACGAGAACCAAACGTTGGATGAAAAGAAAATTAGACTAAGCAAAACTAATAAGCCTATCAAACAATATCTTATGTTGCATAAGGAGAATAGTGTATAGAAGATAAAGTGTGAGAAACATTCAGGTTTCTATCTGAGTCTTTTAGTTAGCTGTAGACCTTGAGCAGATCTACTTAAAACTTTCTCTGCATGGGGTCTGTCAAATGGAGATAACAGTAACCTACTCCTAGGGCTCCTTTGAAACCAAATGAGATAATGTATGTAAAGGGCTTAGCACAGTGCATGGGACTAAAGTCAATAAATATAGCTATACTTTATTATGCATCAAAAATTTTTAAATGCTATTTTTACTTTATGTAGAATTATTTACAGTAACAATATGAACTGGTCTTTTCCTCCAAAGTACACAACGTATTTCAGGACAGACTTCTTCAAGCAGAGAGAAGTACTACAGGGACTGAATATAGTTAAACTAACTGGATGAAAGCTCAGAATGCTTCATATGTCAAATTCTCCACTAGAAATCACTATGCTTCTAGAAAATATGTCATACTTCTGAGTCAATGGGCAATAAACGGTAATACATAGAATATTTTTGTATTAAAAAAAAAAGTTAAACTCCCAGATCTGAGCTTTTAAAGTCACTAACAAATTATGCACCCAGGGAACCTTACTTACTCTCACGTGCAGTTCAAGCATGCCTTAAGCACTACTTCATAAACATGACCACCTTAATGGGTTTTGTGGCATTTCAAGAACAAAAATCTCTTTATCTAGACAGATGTAAATATTTCACCATCATAGATGAGAAAAAGGCATTATAAGGAAGCAGTAAATTCTCCACTTTGAGTCGATCTACTGGCTAATTAAATTATTTTATGGTGAGTGAGAAGGCTGATATTCAGAGAGTGATATATTTAAAGTGAAAGGAAAGGGATGGTCTAAAATATACCATGAATTAACTTACTTAGAAGCTCTTTTTAAAACAAGAAAGGTGCTAGGGACTGCAAACATGGGGATATTCAAAATGAGGCTACTAATAACTGTCTTGAAATAGTCAGATAACCAACTGTCTAAAGATGCATCCAGCCATTATTTAACAATTCCTCATATGAAGTATTCAGCTACTTTGGTTAGCTGTCATTTTCAATATCGTAACTTATAGAAGCTAGACTTCCTTCTTAAACCTGTGCTCTGTATTTCACTTTCTGTGTTATGAAAACATAATACACTCAAGCTTTTTATCGAGTGTTTCTGCATTTTCTAAAAATGCAGTGATTAAGAGTCTATTTTCAATTTCAAAACATTATCTAAACATTGCATGTTAGCTCATGTGAAACTATGGAAAATTATAAAGATTTTCCTTATTCAAATGTTGACTAAAGTTACTGATATACAAAGTTCCATTATCGCGACCTAAAATTTTACCATGTGCATATGAGAAAGTTTACTTATTGACCATCTCTTTTGAGCCATCTCTTTTGAGCAGAACTTTGTAGTGTCCATTAATATGAAAAATACTTTCAAAATGAAAAACAATGAATGCAAAGAATGCATACTGCTTTATACAACAAATTTTTTTTTCTTAGAGAAAGACAATGTTTCTAATTTTGATTATATAGTCAAGTATTTTTCTGCTTAAAAAGGAAGACCTATGCTATGAAAAATAAGAAACATCTTAAAAATTTAAATAAAAAATAATTTATAAAATTCAGTATGGATGTCCTCAAAATGTAAAAATGGAGTGAAATAAAAAAAAAAAACAATTGCAGGGAATCTGTTTATTGAGCATTAATGTTAACACTTCTAAATTAAGTAGTCACTTATGAGTTTTCTTTGCTACTGTCCCGTCAATGGACATAATGGAAAATATTGCACATAACTCAAACATGGAAATATTAACAAAATATCTAAGCAACAAATATATGTTTTACATTTAAAAAATTAATCCAAACAAAATAATTTGAAGCACTTTTCTGATTTGAAAGTCTTAAAGTGTTCTCTCATGTTTTATTTGATATTTTTTTCCCTTTTTAATTTTTTTACAAATTGACACTGTGTACAAAGAGTTCAAGTGGCCAGTAAAACTACTGCTTTAAAATTGTTGGCTTTAAGTAACAGAGGTATAATTTGAATTCATATCAGAGCTTTCTAAAATGGCAATAGTACAAGCATATGACTTTCTCTAGTATCCAAAACCTGTTCTGGCTTTCCTTTGGCTAAGGAATAGAAAATTAGACAGCCTTCTAAAGCTGCCACAATTTCCTAAAATGCTTTGACAAAAGTTGGCATACTTCATTTCTCTTGCTTACCCTGATAACACTGGGCTAAACAGAAAATGAAGAAAATTCAGTCAATAGTAACTTAAACAGTAGCTAGCTCGCTCTGGACATGGAAGTTTGGGTAAAGCTGATGAACATTCAGAAACATATTCTTTTTTTTTTTTTTTTTTTTTTTTGGTACG